CCCTATGCCTTTCCCTCTTATTTCCTATACTGCTTGCCTCTCTTGATTTGGTGGAGCAAATCCTTTCATGGCTTCCTGAGAGAGGGTCCACGGACGGTAAATTGTTTGAGACCTTACCCATCCAAAAATGTCTTTATTCTAACCCCATACTTGATTGATAGGTTTAGTTACAGGCTGGAAGAAACTTTTCCTCAGAATTTTGGAAGTATTTCTCCACTGTTCTCTTTCGTTCAGTGAATTTTTATTGAGAACCTAATACATGCCTGGCACTGCTCTAAGCACGTGGGATACATCAGTGACTAAGAAAAAGAGTCCAAGAGCTTATGTTCCAGACTGAGTTCTGGCTTTCGGTGTAGTTGCTGAGAAGTCTAAAGGCAATCTGATTTCTAATCCTTTGTACGTGACATTTTCTCCGCCAGCTTGCGGGATATTCTCTTTATTCCAAGCGTTCAAAAAGTTCACAGTGTTGTGCCTTGTATGGATTTATTTTCATCCATTCTGCTGGGTACTTGGTGGGCTCATTTGTTCTGTAGACTCATGTCCTTCAGTTCTGGACATTTTTCTTGAACATTCTGTAGAGGATTTCCTCGTCCAGTGTTTGGATGCTGGACTTCTCTCTCAGGGTGGCACTCTTTCTTATCTCTAGTTCTCCTAAGATTCATCTTGTTGCTCTTCCTGGGAGCTTTGCTCAATTTTCTTTTCCAACCCTTCTAGTGTTTTTATTTCTGCTACCCACGTTTTTAATATCCAAGAGATTTTTTTCTTATAAAAATGTCATCCTGTTTGTTTCATAGATGCAATATGAACTTACCTGAGAATATCAGCATGTTTTAAAATTTTCATCTCCCTGCATAGCCTGTTTTCTCCAACATTGTTTTTCCCCCCTGTTCATTTGTTTTCATCTATAAAACTCATGTTTAGAGGCTTTTCTCAGATGTATGGATAATCCCTGGTTGCCTGCTTATGATCAAGAGCCAGGGATGGGGGCGCCTGGGTGGCTCAGTCGGTTAACAGCATCTGCCTTCGGCTCAGGTCATGATCCTGGGGTCCTGAGATGGAGCCCCACGTCGGGCTCCCTGCTCAGCAGGGGAGTCTGCTTCTCCCTCTCCCTCTGCCCCTGCTCGTGTGTGCTCTCTCTCTCGCTCTCTCAAATAAATAAAATCTTGGGAAAAAAAAAAGAAAAAAAGAGCCAGGGACTAAAAAACACTTTGGAAGATCTGAGCACATGGTTTTAAGATTTTGACTTTGGGGTTCACTTCAGAGCAATCTGTATGGGACATTTGTTAGGGGAACTCTAATGCCTCTATCCTGGGAATTGGCAGACTCTCCAGAAAAGAATCTTTAAAATTTCTGCATGGAGAGTAAAGATTTGGTTGTGTCAGCTTAGTGGGAAGAAAAGGATGAGGATCGGGGTGCCTGGGTGGCTCTGTCGTTAAGCGTCTGCCTTCAGCTCAGGTCATGATCCCAGGGTCCTGGGATCGAGCCCCGCATTGGGCTCCCTGTTTGGCGGGGAGCCTGCTTCTCCCTCTCCCACTCCCCCTGCTTGTGTTCCCTCTCTCGCTGTGTCTCTGTCAAATAAATAAATAAAATCTTTAAAAATAAAATCTTAAAAAAAAAAAAGATGAGGATCCCAGCATTCAATAATCACATGCTCTCTTAATCCCTATCTTCAAAATACTACTTGTGACCTTAATTTGGCTTAGTATCCCCTATACAGAAAGTCTTTTGTTTTGTCTTTTCCACTTAGATTTCTGCTAGGGAGAAATCTAGATTGGTGAGGATATATGTAGGATAAACCCCAAGAAGTAGGATTGCTGGATCGAAGAGTGCATACATTTTTAATTTAATTTAATTTAATTTAATTTAATTTAATTTAATTTGAGTTCCATGCCCAGCATGGAGCCCAACTTGGGGCTTGAACTCATGACCCTGAGATCAAGATCTGAGCTGAAGTCAAGAGTCGGACGCTTAACCAACTGAACCACCCAGGTGGTTACATTTTCAATTTGTATTGGTTATTGCATACATTTTCAATTTGTATTGGTTATTGCATACATTTTCAATTTGTATTGGTTATTGCCCATTTGTGCTCTATTGAGCTTGTATCATACATACCACCACCAGCAATATGTTTCTTCATACCTTGTAAATAGTCATCAAACTTTTTGACTTTGAAAAAAGGTGGAAAATATTTTACCTATGTTATTTTAATTAACATTTTTTTTAAAGATTTTATTTATTTGTCAGATAGAGAACACAAGCCAGGGGAGCGGCAGGCAGAGGGAGAAGCAGGCTCCCTACTGAGCAAGGAGCCCGATGCGGGGCTCGATCCCCGGACCCCGGGATCATGACCTGAGCCGAAGGCAGATGCTTAACCAACTAAGCCACCCAGGCGTCCCAAATTTACATTTTCCTTAAGTTTGAGATTGAGCATCTTTTCATGGTTGAGACATGTTTCCATTTTATTTTCTCTTAAGTGTTTGCTCACATAACCTTTGCCCATTGCATTGTTAACTGATTTATAGGAGCGCTTCACTTTTTCCAGTTTCTGGTTTGTTGAATTTGCTTATGGTGGTTTATTAGAAAGGAACACTGTTGTTTTTTTAACAAAGCACTTTCATTTTCTATGCAAAAGAGATTCAGAAAATTTACATAAAGGTGTGAGATGGTCAGCTAAGCAGGGAGCCGCCAGTGTGGTTTGGACAATGCTGCCACAGGCTGCCTGCGGGGCCTTCTGCTTTTCCTGATAGGACATGGTCAAAGGGACAGCAGAGAGAGCAAAGCAGACAACCCTAGCCTCCACTGTGCCTGCCCTTCCCTAATTACCCAGTGAGTGAAGTTTTTGGGCCTTGCTCCATCATGTCTGAGTTTGGGGGTGTTAGAAACGGGGAGAAGTAGGGGCGCCTGGGTGGCTCAGATGGTTGAGCGTCTGCCTTCGGCTCAGGTCATGATCCCAGGGTCCTGGGATCAAGTCCCGCATCGGGCTCCCTGCTAGGTGGCGAGCCTGCTTCTCCCTCTGCCTCTGCCTCTCTCTCTCTCTCTCTGACTCTCATGAATAAATAAATAAAACATTTAAAAAAAAAAAAAAAGAAACAGGGAGAAGTAGAATAAAATTGCCTTCTGAAAACATACATTTCCTTGTTTCTTTTTTTTTTTTTTTTTAAGATTTTATTTATTTATTTGACAGAGAGAGATAGCAAGGGAGGGAACACAAGCAGGGGGAGTGGCAGAGGGGGAAGCAGACTCCCCGCTGAGCAGGGAGCCTGATGTGGGGCTCGATCCCAGGACCCTGGGATCATGACCTGAGCTGAAGGCAGACGCTTAACGACTGAGCCACCCGGTGCCCCTATTTTCTGTTATTTTTTAAAAAAGATTTATTTATTTTGAGAAAGAGAAAGCAGGAGGTGCAGAGGGAGAGGAAGAGAGAATCTTAAGCAGGCTCCACACTCAGCATGGAGCCCCATGCTGGGCTAGATCTCAGGATCCTGAGATCATGACCTGAGCCAAAATCAAGAGTCGGATGCTTAACCGACTGAGCCACCCAGGCGCCCCTTGTTATTGTTTTGTCTTAAGAGGGAAAGGTCCCTGCAAGGCCCTTTGTGGGGGGACCAAAATGCCATCATGGTAGTAAAGACTAGAGCATCTACAAGTATTGAGAAGGGAAAATATTCTTCAGTGTGGTCAAATTTCTTCTATGGTTTCTGCATCTTTTGTCTTGTTGAGAAAGACCCACATTCTGAGATTATTAAAAATTCCTCTTGGGCAGCTGCCTTTGGCTTGGATCATGATCCCGGGGTCCTGGGATCAAGTCCCCACATCGGGCTCTCTGCACAGTGGGGAGTCTGCTTCTCCCTCTGCTACCCGCCCTGCTTGTGCTCTCTCACTCTGATAAATAAATAAAATCTTAAAAAAAAAAAAAAGCCAAAAGCACTTGACAAGGATGATAGGACACAAACACCATTAAAAAAAAAAAAAAAAGTCTCCCCTTACTGCCCATATTATTTTTCTTTTTTGTATTTTAATTTTTTCTTCATTTGGATTTTGCCCCCAGATGGCTACCCAGTTGTCCTAACCTTATTTATTGAACATTCATCTTTTACTTAGACATCTGAAATAACGTTTTAAAAATTACACACACAAGTCTTGTGTATTTGGGTTTATTTCTGGAATTCTTGTTCTGTTGACCTGCCTATTTGTGTGCCTATGCTCCACTATTACAATTATTATAGTTTGTCTTATCTTTTAATATTTGATAGAGCTGATTCCCCATTTATTCTTTTTAGAATTTCCAGGGCTCTTTTTGTTTTTACTTTTTCCACTTGAACTTTGAAATCGTCTTGTCCAGTTTCTAAACATGGTTTGGAATTTAATGGAATCACATTAAATTTATGGGTTAAAATACATTTATGATGTTGAGTCTTTCTATTCAAGAACATGGTGTGCCTTGCCACTTGTTCAGTTGTCCTTCTGAGTCCTTGTGTAGCATTGTGAAGTTTTTACCCTAAAGATCTTACTGTTCTGGGGTGTGTGGCTGGCTCAGTCAGTAGACGATGTGACTCTCAATCTCAGGGTTATGAGTTTGAGCCCCAAGATGGGTGGGTGTAGAGATTACTTAAAAAAAAAATTTTTTTTTTTTTTTTTTTTTAAAGAGGGGCACCTTAGATACATTCTAAGACCCCCAGTGGATGTTTGAAACCGTGGAGAGTACTGAACCCTGTATGTATGTTTTTTCCTGTACATATGTATGTGTGATAAGGCTTAATTATTACCAGTCAGGCACAGTAAGAGATTAAAAACAATAACAAGACAGAGCAATTATAATGAAATACTGTAAGAAAGTATATGTGAGTGTGTTCTCTCTCTCAAAAGATCTTCTTGTATCGTACTCAACCGAACTTCCTCTTTTTGGGTGAGATGTGAGATGATAAAATTCCCATGTGATGAGATGAAGTGAGGTGAATAAGGCAGGCATCGTGATGTAGCACGAGGTTACTACTGACCTGACAACAGTGAGAAGGAGGATCATCTGCTTCTGGACCACAGTTAACCACACGTAACTGAAACAGTGGAAAGCAGAACCGTGGATAAGAGGTACTACTGTATGTATATGTTTTAACTTTTCAGAAATCATATTATACTTACTCATCTGCAACTTGTTTTTTTACTGAATATATTTTGGACAGCTTTCCATGTCAGTCCAAATGGGCTTATGCATTTATTTTTTTAACAAATGCAATGTATGGAATTTCCATAATTTATCTAACTCTTTATTGATAGGTATTTAGGTAATTTCCAATTTTTTACGATTATGAACAATGCTTCAGTGAAAATCCTTGTATACATAAACTTTATATATTTGTGAGGATAAATTGCTAAGAATTGGAGTTGTTGACTCAAATCATGTTAACTACAATAAATATTTTGACAGTCATTCACAAATTGCCCTCCAAATAGTAGCAATTTTCATTCCTACCAATGCCTTTTTTTAAACTTTTTTTATTATGTTATGTTAATCACCATAATTACATCATTAGTTTTTGATGTAGTGTTCCATGATTGTTTGCATATAACCCCCAGTGCTCCATGCAGTACGTGCCCTCTTTAATACCCATCATCAGGCTAACCCACCCCCCCACACCCCTCCCCTCTAGAACCCTCAGATTGTTTCTCAGAGTACATAGTCTCTCATGGTTCGTCTCCCCCTCCGATTTCCCCCCCTTCATCTTTCCCTTCTTACTATCTTCTTCTTTTTTTTAAATATATAATGTATATTTGTTTCAGAGGTACAGGTCTGTGATTCAACAGTCTTACACAATTCACAGCACTCACCATAGCACATACCCTCCCCAGTGTCTATTACCCAGCCACCCCATCCCTCCCACCCCCCACTCCAGCAACCCTCGGTTTGTTTCCTGAGATTAAGAATTCCTCATATCAGTGAGATCATATGATACATGTCTTTCTCTGATTGACTTATTTCGCTCAGCATAATACCCTCCACAATGCGTCTTAATACTTGTACAAACATGAAACTCTCTGACAATACTATTATCAGAATTATATATTGGTAACTGATATTTTCCAATGTGATAGTAAAAAATTGTTTTGGTTTGCATATCTTTCATTAGAACAGTTGAGCATCTTGGGAGTGGGGAAGTTCTTCTAGGCATGACAGGAAACTCAGAAGTCATCAACAGGGCGTCTGGGTGGCTCAGTTGTACGCATCTACCTTTGGCTCAGGTCAAGATCTTGGAGTCCTGGGACTGAGCCCCACATTGGGCTCCCTGCTCAGTGGAGTCTGCTTCTCCCTCTGACCCTCACCCTGCTTGTGCTCTCTCTCAAATAAATAAAATATTAAAAAAAGAAGTCATAAACAAAGTCTGATAAATGCAACTTTTGTAAATTGCTTGCTTATGTCCTTTGGCTATTTTTTCCTACTGGGTAATGTTTCCTTTCTAATGACTAAAAGAAGCATTTTTAAGTTTAGGGATTCTAGGCACTTGCCATATGTGTCACAAATATTTTTTCCAAGTTTGTTGTCTTTTTGAATGGCGTTTTGTATGCAAGATACAGAATAAAAATATCTGGCTTATTTGTTTAGTGCTATGTTTAGAAAAGTCTTCCCTATTTCAAGATCACGAATATATTTATTCAAGTAGTTTTTTTAATTCTTATGGTTAATTTTTCTATTTAAATCTTTGATCCATCTGGAGTTTATTTTGGAATGAGAAGTAGGAACCCGTATTTATTTTATTATAAATGGATAGTTGGTTGTTGCAATACCTTTTATTAAATTAATCCTGCCATCTTTACCATATGTCCATTTTTACTGTGGTCTAATTCTTTATTATAGTGCATTGATGTTTTAATTAAGGAGGCTTTATAATACATATTAATATTTGGGAGGCAAACATTACTTTTCTTTTTTTCAGAATTTCCCATGATTCTCAAATATTTTATTCTGCCAAATGAAATTTAGAATAATTTTGACAAGTTCTAAAGAAAATTCTGTTTAGATTTGGATTGCATTCAATTTATACATTAATTCAGAAAGACCTGGCATTTTCCCACAACCTCTACGGTCAACTCATCTTCGATAAAGCAGGAAGGAATATCCAACGGAAAAAAGAGTCTCTTCAACAAAGGGTGTCGGGAAAACTCGACAGCAACATGCAGAAGAATGAAACTGGACCACTTTCTTACACCACACACAAAAATAAATTCAAAACGGGTTAAGACCTAAGTGTGAATCCATTAAAATCCTAGAGGAGAACACAGGCAGCAACCTCTGTGACCTTGGCCACAGCAACATCTTACTAGGCACATCTTCAAAGGTAAAGGAAACAAAAGCAAAAATGAACTATTGGGTCCTCATCAGGATAAAAAGCTTCTGCACAGCTACTCCGGGATCATGACCTGAGCTTCTGCACAGTAATCCATCAACAAAATGAAAAGGCGGCCTAAAGAATGGGAGAAGGTATTTGCAAATGACATATCTGATAAAGGGTTAGAATCCAAAATCTATAAAGAACTTATCAAACTCATCACCCAAAAACCAAATAATCCAGTCAAGAAACTGGTAGAAGACATTTTTCCAAAGAAGACATACAGATGGCTAATAGACACATGAAAGATGCTCAACGTCACTCATCATCAGAGAAATACAAATCAAACCCACAATGAAATACCATCTCACACCGGTCAGAATGGCTAAAATTAACAAGTCAGGAAACGACAGATGTTGGCGGGGATGCAGAGAAAGGGGAACCCTCCTACACTGTTGGTGGGAATGCAAGCTGGTGCAGCCACTCTGGAAAATAGTGGAGGTTCCTCAAAAAGTTAAAAATACAACTACCCTATGATCCAGCAACTACACTACTAGGTATTTACCCAAAGGATACAAAAATACTGATTCGAAGGGATACATGCACCCTGATGTTTATAGCAGCAATGTCCACAATAACTAAAATATGGAAAGATGAATGGATAAAGAAGATGAGGTGTGTATACACACACACACACACACAAAAGATTATAAAGATGTGTGTGTGTGTGTGTATATACACAAGATTATTCAGTCATAATAAAGAATGAAATCTTGCCATTTGCAGTAACATGGATGGAGCTAGAGAGTGTTATGCTAAGCAAAACAAGTCAGAGAAAGACAAATACCATATGATTCCACTCATATGTGGAATTTAAGAAACAAACCAGATGAATATAAAGGAAGAGAAAAAGAAAAAGAGGGAGGCAAACCATAAGAGGTTTTTTTTTTTTTTTTTTTTAAGATTTTATTTATTTGACAGAGAGACAGCGAGAGAGGGAACACAAGCAGGGGGAGTGGGAGAGGGAAAAGCAGGCTTCCCACGGAGCGGGGGAGCGGGGAGCCTGATGCAGGGCTTGATCCCAGGACCCTGTGATCATGACCTGAGCCGAAGGCAGACACTTAACGGCTGAGCCACCCAGGTGCCCCTCTTTTTTTTTTTTTTAAGATTTTATTTATTCAATTGTCAGAGAGAGAGCACAAGCAGGGGGAGCGGCAGGCAGAGGGAGAGGGAGAAGCAGGCTCCCCGCCGAGCAGGGAGCCTGATGCAGGGCTTGATCCCAGGACCCTGGGATCATGACCTGAGCCAAAGGCAGAGGCTTAACTGACTGAGCCACCCAGGTGCCCCATAAGAGACTCTTAATGACAGAGAACAAACAGGGCTGCTGGGGTAGGTGGGCGGGGGATGGGCTAGATGGGGGATGGGTATTAAGGAGGGCACTTGTTGTGATGAGTACTGGGTGTTGTATGTAATTGATAAATCACTGAATTTTATTCCTGAAACCAGTATTACACTATATGTTAACTAACTAGAATTTATATAAAAACTTGAAAAAAAGACTGGCATTTTCACAGTGTTGTGTCTTCTTACCCCAAAACAAGGTATTTCATTTAATTATTTTAGTTTCTTTACAGAGTTTTATAGTATTCTTCAAGTAGTTTTTGAAAACTTTCTAAGTATATTCAGAGACATTGTGCAGCTCAACCCCAGGGGGCACCACCCACTCTGTGGTCAATGAGATTAAAGGCCCCCACTTCCCTGTGTGATAGGTACAAACAACTATGAGTTTATTCCTCTTTTTAATTTTGCTATTGTGAGTGATAGGAGTGATATTTCCTTTTGTTTTATTTAAATTACTATTTTCACATGAAAGTTTGAATACTGATTTTATGACCTGTTGCCCTATTACACTGTCTTAAGACTTTTTCAGTTGATCCCCTTAGGTTTCCCCACATATAGTCCTATATAAATTATGATAACTTCATTTTGAACTTTTTCGTACTGTACTAGCTAGCACTTCTAGCACAATATTAAATAATGGAATCTTGAGTAGAATTCATGACACATCTTTTGACCTTAAGTCCAATGCTCTTTTTTGGGTACATATTCAATCCGCAAAACAGTCCTGAGCACCAGTCACCTTTTATAATCTTTTCTTATCCCAACAGGCAGATCGAGAACTGCAATGAATATCCAGTTAATTCTTACACAAAATTCTCCCCAGCAAATTCAATATTCTATCTTACTAAAAATTGAAATGCGACCCTAAAGAAAGAGTGTTCTCCAAGGATATGTTTTGGGTTTTTTTTTTTGGGGGGGGGAGAGGAAAGTGGACCGAGCTGGGGCTAAGGCAGTGACTGAAAAATGGGCATGCCAAATAGGTAATTACTTGAAAGTCAAATGCATAAAATAAACAAGGGGCTGAACCACCCTCTACCACACCCACCAAAAAAAGGCTAGAAGCAGAACTATTTGAAAATACAGTGATATAGCCCTAAAGCAAAGCTTAACCTCAGGTTAAGGTAGGAGAAAAGCAAGCATGAACAAGCATGTTTTCAAGTATGTGAACTGCAATCATATGTAGCTAGCAATCTAGTGAGAGGAGACAGCAATGTAATAAACGTCATAATAAAGTTAAGTATTAACATGAAGTAGTAAAAGTTAGAGAATGTTTCTTAAAGGAGGTGGGACATTCATTTGGCAGATACAGAGCACCTACTGATTGCCAGCCC